ACCCCGACCTCATATCAGCCCAAGCCAGTCTAAGATGGAATCTCTGGAGTCGGGGAGTAGGAGAAGATGGGCCCAGACCGCCAGAGTTGTTGTGCTCCAGAGAATAGGGTAGAGTTGTAGTGCCAGTGCAATAGAGAATAGGGTAGGGGAGAAGACAGTAAGGAAAAAGAGAGGGGTATAGGCGAGTAAGACGTTAAACAAAGGGGGCAAAGCTTCATGGGGAAACTGGTGTCGTCTCTCCAGAGTTTTTGCATGTGTGTGTGTGTGTGTGTGTGTGTGTGTGTGTGTGTGTGTGTGTGTGTGTGTGTGTGTGTGTGTGTGTGTGTGTGTGTGTGTTTTAATTTAAATAATCTTGTCATTATTGATTGAAAGTCTAGACAGTCTTGAAATTTCCTATTTGGGTCTAAGATACCCAATTCCCCTTCTGAACATCGTAGGCACACCATTTCCCATGCAACCTTTGAGCGGAAGGCGTCCTTCTCTCCTGAAATACAGTTATGAAATTTCTTGATTAAGTCCGATTAACCGTCTTTTACAGTTCGATTTTTTTTCTTTTTTTTTTTCCCGGCTACGCTTGGCGTTAGACAGTGGGATGGCGGGTTCATCTGTCCGGTCAATAAGGTGGAATAGTCGGGAACTTTTATCTCGTCATTTAATTTCTTCGCTTTTTTTAAAACAATAATTATTGAATAATAATGTCATCGAGTAATCTCAATAACTCTCAAATTTGTGAGTGAGTCAAACTTTTTGTTGTGATATTCGGGGATCGCAAGTCGGAATTTTTTTTTTTTTTTTTTTTTTTTGTGTTTGGGACCAGAATTCTTTCTCGGTTTATACGTGGTAGCCGTTTATTGCACAACACCGGGGCCTATGTTTATCTCTCTTTCTGGGACCATTCTCTCTCGATTTATTCACCTCATCTTTCTGCTGCACATAGCTCGAATTTCAATGGATATCCCGCAGGACGAATTTCCAATTCGGACTCTTTCAGTACAGAACATCATCAGTCAATCGATTGAGGAAAACTACGTCGTAGTCAACGGCGACTTCAGTTAGCCGTGCCATAGGCCCGTAGCTAGTTGTAAGTATTCGACTCTCTTTTTTCCCGAAGTAGCGACTTCTTTCTTTCGGTTCTGACTCTTCTGAGGATCCCATCATCAAGTAGAGGGCTCTCTAGAGGGCACTCAGCCTCCAGCAACCTTTCTCGGAAACCTGCGTGTGCGCGCGCGCGTGTGTGTGTGTGTGTGTGTGTGTGTGTGTGTGTGTGTGTGTGTGTGTGTGTGTGTGTGTGAGAGAGAGAGAGAGAGAGAGAGAGAGAGAGAGAGAGAGAGAGAGAGAGAGAGAGTTGTTATAAACACCCGGCGTGTGTGCGTGCAGGGCTGTCCTGTTGAGACTGGCCAAGACCGATTCATTGACAGGGGACGGCTGAATTGCACTCATGGGCTGATGTTGGTCATTGAAACTGACGTCGTGCCCTTGGGTGCAAATATTGTTTGACTGACACTGATCTTTGAGGGAAATGACAGTGACTGAATGCTGATTGGATTCTTAACTGATACTTTCGGGTAACTCGAATGACTGAATTCTGCTGAATTGACAAGTCAGTGAATTTTTAGCTACTACTGTTTTATTTAGTGTTCTTTTTGTCAAAATTTGTGAACTTAGTCTGACTTTTTGTCACTTTTATTTGTTTGTTTTTTACTTCATTTGTTATTTTTATTGGTTAATCTTCAATTTGTTCAATTTAGCTTTCTTAGCACTATGCTATCATATGAGTTCACTTAGTGGCGAGAAACGCTGAAATACTGCAGGTCACGGGGTGACATTCGATAGTTGATATGTTGGTGGGGATGTCTGTGCACCTTTTGCGCTCACCTGAGCCTTGCCCTGACCTGCTTCACCGTCTCTAGTGATAAATGGTGTTTCCGTTTCTTCTCATTCACCCTCTGCACACAAACCCCTCTTGTTGTCTCAGACTTGGAAGCCTATCGTAGTACTCCCAACTCTGTTTACTGCCAGTACATGTAGGCAAGAAAACCTCCCGTTGCCCCCTACCTCCCCCCCCCCCTTTGGAACCTGGTGGCATGAGGTCTGATTTAGCATTCGTGTGAGAGTTGTGCTGTGCTGGAAAAAAACGGTCCAGCGCAGTACATTGCGTGAGGCCCTGCAGATTTACTACGAGATTTGTTGTCCTGAATCCCCTCAGGGCCCTCGCCCGTCGTAGACCGACTTCTTCGGATCATCCGGCGACAAAACCTTTGTACCTGGTCTCCCCTCAAACGAAGCTGCGCGCCATTTTTGCACCCCGCGGCGACAAAACCTTTGTACCTGGTCTTCCCTAAACGGGGCAAAAGAAGTGTGGGAGGCCCGCAAACGATGCTGATGCCATTTTTGCACCCCGCGTGGTCGGCAACGCACTTTGTTTGTTTTTTTTTCCGTTTTTGTTTAGGAAAACAGAGCTCCAGTCCTTCGGGACATCCGTAAAAATTGGAACGATACAGAGAAGATTTTTTTTTTTTTTTTTTTTTTTTTTTTAAACTCCCCCTGGAAGGGAGAATGGGGCGAGCCACGCCCTGCTGCAGTGCAATACAGAGGCAACTCAGAGGGGTCGAGTAGGCGACCCTACGCATGTGACCCCACGGTAGCCCCGAAAAATAATTTAATATCATGTGGCCTGATGGAGCACGGATCAGATTTTAAACTGATCAGAACAGATACTGCACTTGATCTTAGCCAAAAGGCCGAGAAAGGTATTGATACAGAGAAGATTAGCATGGCCCCTGCGCAAGGAAAAGGAAAAAAAAAAAAAAAAAAACAGAGCTCCATTCTATTTGCGGGGAACGGCGGGACATGCTGGGAATCGGGCGCAGCCTCCCTTATCAGTTTGAGTGAACGTAGTATATTGGTTTCGGGGTCTCCACAGTCTACCCGGGGGCAAGGTCCCGCTTGCACAAATTAAGAGATTCTGGAGAAGAAGAAGGTAAGCAATGGCCCAGATTGCTCTTCAAACGCAACAGAATAACATCTTTCTTACAAGCGTGTACACCGCTTAAACCACGCACGCAGTCCTCTACATGTTTCAGCCGGGTGCGCTCCGGTCTCATCAGGAGGCTTGCCACATACCCTTCGCCTTTCGGCCCACCGCACTCTACCACCCAAGAGATTCTGGCCGTTAATCTTTTCTATCTCCGGTCAATAATACTCAATATCGCTTATTAATTCGTGTAAATGGGATCTAGCCCCGGAAGAAAGAAAAATAGGCCTCTGAGTGCTGGGAGGCGGGGAGATAGTTATATAGGATCCCGATCAGGTCCGCTTGTAGGATCCCGATCAGGTCCGCTTGTGCGCCTGGCGGGGAAGACAGAAGGCTATGACGGTATGGCAACTACATGGTTTGTCTCTTCTTTATTTTTTTTCCTGTTGTTTTTTTCTCTGGCCATTTCTCGATTTATGCGTGTCATGCCGCGCAGGACTTGTCCTTCATTTTCGTTTTTCTTGAAATGTTTCTTTCGATGTAGAGGACAGTGCAAAAAAAAAAAAGAAAAAAAAAAGCCATTGGAGGTTGCCAGTTCCCAAAAAACGAAAAAAAAAAAAAAAAAAAAAGCCATTAGAGGGGGGAAATTTCCTTAGCATCGCCGTCAATGAAACGCCGCTGAGTTTTTTTTTGTTTTTTTTTTGTTTTTTTGTTTTTGTTTTTTCTTTTCTAAAGGGCACCATCATTGACAAATGAGCTGGGAAGAAAAAATCAATTTTTTCCATACGTCGAATCATATAAGTTACATATAATCTAAGCATATATTCAAGATCTCTCCAGAGAGACACTTGAGAGTAACAGAACACAATATATTAATGCATCCTTTTCATATGCTAGGTGTAGCTGGTGTTTTTGGCGGCTCTTTATTTAGTGCTATGCATGGTTCTTTAGTAACTTTTTAAGCCCAACCAATTCAATTACCTGTCGAATCTGGACAGGACGGCCTTTCAGGCCTTTTTGTCGCTGAGTCCCGGACTCTCGGTAGTTTTATTTGGAATCAGATGCAATGAGTGCGAGGTGTTGACGGTCAAAATCAAAGCATACGCGCACGGGTAATGTCCTGTATGTATCTGGTCACTTAAGCGGTCAGATTCACTTCAAAACGTCCTAAACGAGTTATAATTGCACTATAGGCCAAGACGCAGTTTCGAATTGCAGTTCGGGCAATGTATACAACCCAGTTTTCCGGCCAAATACTAGTAGGGTGCCCAAAGTGCAATTGCAAACTGTATCTTGCCCCATCTTGCTACTATAACTCGCTCGTTTTTCTGACTCTCTACTGAAGTTACCCCTCGCAATTACTTCCAGCGATCAGTTGAAAACGTTCCAAGTGTGAGTACGTCCTAGAGCTAGCAACTTCCACGAGTGCTACGTCTTCGTATCCGCTCGGAAACTGACGCGTGTGTCTATACGACGAGTATCATATTAAGTGTTTTCTCATGTTTACATGTTCCCTATACACAACTCGATAAAGCCGCATGACCCTGCCCGACTGTTTCGTCGGACTTTCACTTACTCATAAGAGTGTGTGTGTGTGCTTGTCTGTGGTTT